CCACCCGTAGGGTCGTTTCCAGAAAGTAGCATGGGTGTGGGTAGGTCCATGGGTGTGCATGTGTGCGCACTTCAGCCCCCTGGTGTTTATGCTATGGGGTGCCACAGCGCACTATCCTGTTCCCACTGTTATTCAACAACTATATGAAACTGTTTGGAGTGGTCATGAGACATTTTGGAGCAAAGCATCAGCAGTATGCTGACGATGCCTAGCTATATTTCTCTCAAGAGAGGCTGCACAAGCCCTGGACTGATGCCTGGATGCAGTGATGGACTGGAGGCGGAAGGCCGAAAAACTTAGCTGGAATCCTTGTGGGTGGGTGGTTCCCATGTCCAGGACACAGGTCCATCACCTGTTCTGGAGGGACTTGCATTAGAAGCCAAAGAGCCCTTTGGGAGTGCTTTCTACTAGCTCCAGCTGACATCCCTGCTGAGACCATTTCTGGACCATGCTAGCCTGACCACAATGTTCCATGCACTGGCAACCTCAAGACCTGATTGCTGCAATGTGCTTATAATGTGAAGCTACCTTTGTATCTGGCTCAGAAGCTGCAGTTAGCAGAGCAGCCAAACAGCTCGCAGGAGTAGGTTATTGGCAACATGCTATCCCACTGCTGAGAGAGATGTGCTGGTTGCCATTCTGCTTCAAGGTCAGGTTCAGGGCCACTGTATTAATTCACAAAGCCCTAAGCAGCTAAGTAATTTAGGGACTAACTGATCCCTTATGCTCCACCTCAATCACTGAGATTATCTGACGGGGCACTCCTTGTGGTTTCCCATGTCCTTGAGGTTCGGTTGGAAGTTACTAGGGACTGAGCCTTTAGTGTGGCAGGATGTGCCCTATGGAACTCCCTGCCACTAGAGGTTTGGCAGGCATCATCCCCTCCCTTCTTTTCCTAGAAATCCTAGACAGGCCTTTGAAATGCAAATTTTATTTTTATTGACCTGTTTTTATGGATGTTTTATTGTTGCTGTCATTGTTTCACAACTGCCTTGTAATTTTACAAAAGTGCAGATCCTGAATAGATGTGACTACTCAGAGCAGACCACTAAGCACGCTGCTCTGGATCACTGCACCTGTGTAAAGGAGGTTGGGGGATGGCATAAAATTATTACTGCCCTTTAGTGAAGCATGCAAGCATCCTGCAAAGAGCTGGACTGAGTGCCTTTGAGATTCCTTCCTGGCCCAGAGTTATGTAATTTCTGACATCTATCATCTGGCACATATTCAGGGCCTGGTCATAAATAAATCCTTGCACAAATCCAAATGGCTGATGTCATCCTTTCACACCTGTCTCACACTCCGGATGCACAGCAGGAACATCCTGGCCAGAGTCTTCTTTCTCCAGTTCTTCTCTGCCTTTTCATCTCAGCTTCTGCCCTCATTTACAAAATAGATCACATGGCGTTTCTTCCCCCCATCTCACCCTTTAACCTCATTCACCAAGAGGAGGGAGACTAATGTGCGCACGCATGCCGAAGCAACCAGGTGGCTGGGTCCTCCCTCTTCAGCTGGCGAGTCCCTCTCCAGTCGGTCCCATTTGGCTCCAGTCCCGTTTCTGCCTCTTGGAAGTGGAATTCAGAGCAGCCCTGGCGTGTGTTGACTGCTGCTGTTGCCTGAACAGGCTTCTCTCCTCTGAAGTGGGGCCAGAAATTCTTCACACCCATTCCCAACAGGCCCCAAAGGACAGGGGAACGAAAAAGGGGGGTGGGGGAGAAGCTTTGACCTGGGACAAAGGAACAGAGGTTCTTTGAGAGCCACAGAAAAAGGACGTCCTACATCAGCCTTTACCAACCCACCTGGTGCCCTCTAGATGTTTTGGACTATAATTCCCATAAGCCCCAGCCACTGGAGGGTATCAGCGTTGCCACATCCTAAATCCAGGAGGGCAGTAAGGAATTCATAGCATTGCAGAGAGAAGAAAATGAATTAATTTAAATGTTTTAAAGCATCCCTTTATTCTTATGGATATCATTTTTTAAAACAAATAATATTTATTACTTTTCCACAAATTTAAACACTAAAAAGACAATACAATACAATACATTAAACTAACAAAACAAAACAAAAACAATAAGATAAATCAAACAATTTCATTATCCCATCTTTCATTCACTTATTTCCATGACCTCCTCACACCTCCCTTTTTGTATTCCACTTCTGTTAATTATTTCAGCAATTCCTTTCCATCTTCCTCTGTTTCCTATCCTATAATTATCTTAACTCATTCTAACCTTATTTTTCCTTTAATACTCTATTAATCTATTTATACTTAATTCCTTATAACGTTTCTACTAAAGCCATGTAACTTCATTCCAACATTTTTCTAACATTCATTAATTTTACAGTATTTCTGTAAATAATCTTTAAATTTTTTCCAATCTTCTTCCACCGACTCTTCTCCCTGGTCTCGGATTCTGCCAGTCATTTCCGCCAGTTCCATATAGTCCATCAACTTCATCTGCCATTCTTCCGGGGTGGGTAAATCTTGTGTCTTCCAATATTTTGCGATGAGTATCCTTGCTGCTGTTGTTGCATACATAAAGAAAGTTCTATCCTTCTTTGACACCAATTGGCCGACCATGCCCAGGAGAAAGGCCTCTGGTTTCTTCAGGAAGGTATATTTGAATATCTTTTTCATTTTGTTGTAAATCATCTCCCAGAATGTCTTAATCCTTGGGCATGTCCAGCAAAGGTGAAATAATGTGCCTTCAGTCTCGTTACATTTCCAACATTTATTATCGGGCAAATGGTAAATTTTTGCAAGCTTGACTGGTGTCATGTACCACCTATAAATCATTTTCATTAAGTTTTCTCTTAGGGCATTATATTCTTATGGATATCAGAAGGATGGAGGGCATGAATATTTCATAATCTCAAGAGAAAATACAACAAAACAGATTCTGAAGCAATCAACATTGTAGAGCAGAGAAACAGCATAACCAGGCTTAAAAGGCCCAGACTAAAAAGGCCTTTCTAGTTCAGTCTTCTGCCCCAACAGTAGGTTGGCCAATTATTCACTGCTGAAAAAGCCATGAATTATTGCTAGTGTAGCATAATGGTTAGAGTGGTTAGGACCTGGGAGACCAAGACTCGAATCCCCACTCAGCCGTGATGCTCACTGGGTGACCTTGGGCCAGTCACCATCTCTTAGCCTAGCCTACTTCACAGGGTTGTTGTAATGATGAACTGCGGAGAAGAACCACGCACACCACATTGAGCTGCTTGGAAGAAAAAGGTGGTATATAATTGTAATAAATAAAATAAAAAGGAGGATATGCATCACCAAAAATGGAGGGCAAAAGAGGACAGCGTATGCATAAAATTTGCTTGCAGGTAGTTCTTCTGAGGGTTGGACAGTGTTCTTGAAGCTACCAGCATGAGTTTGACCAAACTGCAGGAGGCAGTGGAAGATAGGAGTGCCTGGCATGCTCTGGTCCATGGGGTCACGAAGAGTCAGACACGACTGAACGACTAAACAACAACAAGAACAAAGTTCTTCTGAGCAGCCAGCCAATCCCAGAAGTCACATAGAGGGCACAACACCTTATGGAAGCTAGAGTATTAAGCAATACAGGTGTCCATATCAGGGAGATGGGAGCTGTCAGAGTACTAACCACGGCTGGAGTGTTCCAGGTTCCCTGCTAGACAGCAATCTGCATCCTATGTACTCAGGCTGGCAGAGGAGGGACGTGTCCTCACTACGTCTATATGATGGAGGACCAGAGAAACTGGATAATCTTAAAGGAAGAAGCTTGGGCAGGGCAGAAAAGCAGCTTACATAAAATAAGACCTTGAACACAATTTTTAAAACACAGTAAGAACACCAGCCAACTAAAAGCATCCTCCCTAAATGATGTTCCTGGTACTGACCACCATTTGGGCACTGAACCATCATCACTGCTGAATAATAAAAACTGCAGAGGATTTTTTTAAAAAAACAAAAACCACAGGCTTTGGGATCAGAGCTATAATGTCAAATGGGCTTCTCTCTCTGTTTTCGGTGTCTTCCCAGAACTGAGAAAGCTTTTTATCCGCTTCAATTTCAAGAGATCTGCAGATATAAGGAAGCAAGAGTCAAGAAATATGAACAGGAGTTAATTTTCTCTGGGGGAATATGGAGAACAGCAAGGTGAAGGAACACCTTTGAGATTCTGAAGGCTGAGAGCAACCTTTACTTAATCTCAGAATGCCCCCGGGGGCATGAGGATGAAGCAACTGTCCCAAGAGGGAGGAAGGAGAGAGGAGATATGCCCAGGAGGAGAGCGAGTTCACATTCCCAGACGTCTCCGTACATTTTTCCAGATGAATGACATGAGGTATAATATGCAATGGAAAGGAAATACCCTTCTTCCAAGGGCTGGCTGGCTGGCTCACCCCTTCTCAAACAGCTCCCATTGTAGTCTGAATTAAAATTTGCACCATGCTTTCCTTCCATGCTGATTGATGCTGATTCATGATTTCAGAATATCTAAAATGCACCCCCTGCACACTATACACTGTGCACACACAATGGCCAGCTGAGGCTGCTGTGACTCAGCATATATTAATGTCTGCTTCTGCCCTCCTTCAGAAAGGCAGGGAAGTCAGAATGGTTGGGCTTACTCAATAAGCAAGTACTGGGCACAAACATTTCCTAATACATACCTCCATAGTTACAATTCCAAACCTCTTCCTATTTTCTCTGCTTAGCCAAGGGGGACCACTATGACTCCTCAAGCTTGTGGCCCTTAATGCATTCTTAGTATGCTCTTCCCAGAAATAACTGCTTAGAAGCATTTCTCCAAAACTTCTTACCAGCCGAGGAAATGAGAGCAATGTAACAACTGAAAAGGGGATGTTATAAGAACTTTGTGCATCTATTTCTTGGCACTCTCTATAAGAGACACCTTCGCTTCCAATCTCCCACTGAAGTGGCTCCAGCAGACACATAGAATCATCGCATTGTGGAATTGGAAGGGGACTCATCTAGTCCAGTTCCCTGCAATGCAGGAATCTTGTACCCAACGTGGGGCTCGAACCCACGGCCCTGGCATTAAGAGTCTCACGCTCTGCCAACTGAGCTATCCATGCTCATCTGGCTCCCCAAGAGCTTGAAATTCATTAGCTTCCTGATTTCACCTCATAGGAAGTTGCCTAATAGAGAGTCAGTCCATTGGTCTGTCTAGCTCAGCAAATGTCTACCACACCAATGGGCAGCAGCCCTCTAGGGTTTCCGAAGGGAGATATTCCTAGCCCTAGTCCTGTTAGAAACTCAGGGCAGTCATTGCCAGTCAGTGTAGACATTGGTGAGCTAGATGGACCAGTGGTCTTTTTTCTGTATAAAGGAGCCCCTCTGTTTCTATTTTCAACAAAGGCGTGGATGTTCTGAATGTGATAATTCCTGGGGAATGTTCTCCTTGCCTTTGCTCTCTCTCCCACATAACATGACAACATGGGACTTGCCTAGGTGACATCATTGCTACGGTGCATCCTCTTCTACTGCCTGCAGCTGTTCCATGCTAGCACAGAGACACCAGGCAAGCCTGGGCCCGATCCCACTTCACTAAAAATACACTTGCGTCGCTCTCCACTCTTCCCTCCAGGGAAGAGAACAGCCTGGCTTTGGGCCTGCTCTGCTAAAATTATACACACATCAGCAGCAAGCTCCGTCTCACGTGCATTAAAGTAAATAGTCCTGGAATTGGGCCAGGATTTGGAGCGTGGTGACACCCCCATTCTCTGCTTGGTGGAAAGTGATCTGGATCATCAGGTCTCAAGTTTCAACTGATTGACAGCAAATAAGGCCTTCACCATTTTGTTATGGAGTGGGGAACTTTTTTCCGAGCCCAAAGAAAGGCCATGTTTCCTTCTGGGCTATTGGGGGGGGCAGCACATGCCCATGGTGGGTGGGGCCAGGTGCAAAAGTGGGCGGAGCAAAAAAAAAAAATCACATTTACAGAGTTAGGCTAATTTCTATCAACACTTCCACAACCCTCAAGGGCACATTCCAGCCAGGCAAAGACAGGCAAGGATGGCGTGTAGCACGGCCTTTGACAGGCACTGAAAGGGCAAAGGAGATCTGGCTGGGAAAGGTGCATGACATAGTGAGAATCCCAAAGGCATGAAAGGGAGACTTGGGTGGCTCTTTTAAGCCACTGGGCCTGAGGTTGCCCACCCCAGGTTAGGAGAATTCACAGCTGACTCAGAGAAAATAATATACTTTCTGCTTAAAGCCACTTAAGAGTTTTCCTAATAGGGGTCCAACCCAAACCTTAACTAAGCCACTGGTCTCAGCTGGTGGGTCAGGAACCTTTGCTGGTTTAAAGACTGGTCCAAGGTTGATCACAACCAGTGCTTTTTTTCAGGGGGCACTAAAGGGTACACAGGGACGCGGGTTGCACTGTGGGTTAAACCACAGAGCCTAGGACTTGCCAATCAGAAGGTCGGCGGTTTGAATCCCCGCGACAGGGTGAGCTCCCATTGCTCGGTCCCAGCTCCGGCCAACCTAGCAGTTCGAAAACACGTTGAAGTGCAAGTAGAGAAATAGGGAAGGTAAACGGAGTTTCCATGCGCTGCTCTGGTTCGCCGGAAGCGGCTTAGTCATGCTGGCCACATGACCCAGAAGCTGTATGCCGGCTTCCTCGGCCAATAAAGCGAGATGAGTGCCGCAACCCCAGAGTCGTCTGCGACTGGACCTAACAGTCAGGGGTCCCTTTACCTAAAGGGTACACAGTACCGATGACTCTTTCTTTTGTTGTTAAAAAGTGTGGCACTTACTGTAGCAACTTCATGGTGAGTACCAGCATCTATTTTTCTCGAAAAAAAGCACTGATCACAACAGCAGCACTACCACCATATGAATTTTTTTAAATTTAAGGCATGTTTGGGTTAAAGGTGGGTCCCAGGTCCAGAAATGTTGAAGGCTACTGTACTTAGGTTCTCAAACTGGAAGGGATTCCCACTCATCCCACTGATGAGTGATGAGGAGATTGCTGCTGGAAGCCAGGGAGTGCTTCCAGACAATGGGTATTTTGCAGCTCCTGGTCATTATATTATTTCACATGAAAATAATCCCAGTGACTTTCCATGCTTTGAGAAAGTGTCTATAGTTCAGTACGTTCTGCCTACAATTGCAGGGGTAACACAGTTGTGTGGGTGGGTGAAGCGGCAATGTATCTAAGCATCCCATTTGGGCAGCAATGGATTTTAAATTCATGCTAAGAATGCAATTTTGTTTCAGCACTTGGTTTTTTGTTTGGGGGGCGGGCGGGATGTAGGCGATTCCAGCATACTCAGCTCATGCAGACGCTCTGAGGGAAGGGCTGCATCTCAGTAGCAGAACATCTGCTGTCCATGCAGAATCATGCCTCCAAATAGGGCTCTCCCAGAAAGTTATGTTTGGAAAAAGGAACCGAGTTTTAAAGATGAGAGAAATACTAAAATAAGACGAACACAGTGTCCATTTAAAGCACTACCAAGCAATACCCCTTGATGGCTTACTCCTAAAATGGTCCCTCTAGTCTAGGAATTTCCAGGTGGTTGGGTGGATAGGGGAGGAGGGACAAGTTTGGTCACTGCAAGAGGAAGCTGGGGAGACAATTCCAGGGCCTAAGGTGAAGAGGTGTCTGCAGGAGGCGGTCTTGCTCCCTGCTGTCCAGGTGTGAGTCAGGGAGGTAAGGGAGGAGTGACTCAGGCAAGGGAGAAAGTGCATCTTTCCACCAGACAGCTTGGGGAGGGGGTGTTCAACCACCTAGCAGTGGCTCCATCACAAGGCAGCCTTTGGTGGAGAAGACCTTGCAGTTTTTCCTTCATATGGCCTGCCAAGCTATAGTTTTCCTGCTACCTCCCACCTACAGTTATGGGTTGGGTTAGAAAGGAAGAGGTGTTATTGAGTGGGTGGGTGTGCCAGAAGAAAGGCGTGGAAAGGTGGCCTCTTTTGGTACAGCCCATCCACATTTCTGAGCACAATTCAGTGTTGGTGCTGACCTTTAAAGCCCTAAACTGCCTGGGCTCAGTATACCTGAAGGAGTGTCTCCACCCCCATCATTCAGCCCAGACACTGAGGTCTATCTCCAAGGGTCTTCTGGCAGTTCCCTCACTGGAAGAAGTGAAGTTGCAGGGAACCAGGCAGAGGGCCTTCTCGGTAGTTGCGCCTGCTCTGTGGAACACCCTTCCACCAGATTTCAAGGAAATAAACAACTACAGTTGTATCTTGGATCCCGAACGCCTTGGTATTCGGACCTTTTGGCTCCTGAACACTGCAAACCCAGAAGTGAGTGTTCAGGTTTGCAAACTTTCTTTGGAACCGGAACGTCTGGCGGGGCTTCTGCGGCTTCTGATTGGCTGCAGGAGCTTCCTACAGCCAATCAGAAGCCACGCTTTGGTTTCCAAACATTTTGGAAGTTGAATGGACTTCCAGAACGGATTCCATTTGACTTCCAAGGTATGACTGTATCTGACTTTTAGAAGACACCTGTTTAGGGAAGTTTTTAATGTTTGATGTTTTATTGCTTTTTTATTAGTAGTATTAATATCCTGTTGGGAGCTGACCAGAGTAGCTGGGGAAACCCAGCCAGATGGGTGGGGTATAAATAATAATAATTTTTATCATCATCATCATCCAGCTTCATTGTCAGATCCCTGTGGGGCAGTTCATTTCTTTTGACCCTGTCGGTGCCGGCAAATGAGGGCTAATGTGTGCCATGTAATGTGCCGAGCAGGGATCGCACTATGAGACAAAAAATGTGTCTGTACTACTAAGTTTCCCACTTTCTCCTGCTTCCACTTTAGCACACTAGCTCCCAGTTCAAAACCTATGTAGCTGCCAGTATGTTTTGAATGCTCAAAAAGCAGGTTCACTCAGCTCTATCTCTCACCGTCTCACCTGTTGGTGACTGAACACCTGATGACGCACAATTGGGCATCTAAGCTGAAGTCATTGAAAAATATTGCCTTATTTTTGAGATATGAAAGTCCCATCCAATGTCTGGTACGTAATGACGAATTCACGCTTGCAGTTCATCACTTGATGTTGCAGACATCAGATGCTGAGCACCACATGCGTGAACTCATGTGGACACTCTGCCCACAAAAAACAATAGTTTTGGGTGGGCGTATTACAGAGTAACACAATGTTGCGTGTGTGACACCTGCTTTTGTAGGCAATAACCTTATTCAAAGCCGAAGAATGATCTAGCACACTGGTCTTCAGTTGATGGCTTTGGAACGACTCTGAGCAGATCATACTATACATTTAATGTGCAGCCAATGCACACTGAAAGCACATGACTTCCACTGGGAACTGTAGTTTCTCCCTCAAAGCTGCCATTTGCAGCACCCTCAACAAACTACAGTTCCCAGGATTCTTTGGGGGAAGTCTTGTGCTTTAAATATGCTTCAAATGCATATTTCAGATATAGATCTGCCCTCCTTTTTGGGAATCACCATTGCAGGACTCGCGTGCTGCTCTATAAAGGTGGCTTCTCTGGGATTTTTTCCTGTTTCCCTTCTACTATGCACAGGGTTAAACTTCTTGTTGCATTCATCTGCATCGTGTTTTCCCCCCTCCCCCGAGATCCCCCAGGTTAATATTTAAACGAGGCTTCATTGCTAATTAAATATACCAATGACCTCAGGCAGGCCTTGTTATCTCTCACACACCTGACGCATGTGTCACCATTCTTTCTCCTCCTCTTGGCTGTGCAAATGGGCTCGTCTGGAGAGCGGGGCCTCTTCCCCAAAGGAAAAGAATGAGAAAATCCACAGGGGAAAAATAACAGCAGCGATTAGGCAACAAAGGGCCTTACGGGGTTGAAGTTTGAAGGTTCCTCAGTCCCAGATGCTCCCTGCAGGAGGTGCTGTAGGGAAGAAAGCCAGCAGCTTGTCCCAGCACCAGACTTCCTTCTAGTGTGCCATAATAATTTGCAATGTTCTAGGCAGCGTCGCTATTTGGCAATCTCAGAGACTGCCTAACAGTGCTGCGCTCTGAACATGTACATCACACAGAATACGTTGCTGCCAGCCAGTGTTGACAGCACTGAGCTAGTTGGAGCAATGGTTGGACTTGCTAGAAGGCATCTTCCTGTGTCCCT